AGCAGTGGGGCCAGGACACTAGGAGCCCCCCCCCCACTGTTGCCCCCACCCCCAGCACCAAGAAGACTTGCCGCAGCTTTGGAGCCAGGGCCATAGCCAGGATTTTGTAATTCGGGGGGCCTTTAAATAAGTTGGGGAACAGTGACATCGCAAAATAAAAACATTTTAAAAATTAAATTTTAAAAACTCACTTTTGCATCGTTTGCAGTCTGCTTATCTATGCTTGGGGAAGGGGTGGTGGTGGGGAGTCCTCCAGGTGGCCCAGAGAGTTGGGGGGCCTGGGGGCTGCATGGAAGTCAGGGGGCCAGGCCCCGAAATGCCCTACTGTAGCTACAGGCCTGCTTGGAGCTATCCTTCCTGAGCTAAGACAGAAGTGTATGAGTTGGAGGCTTAAAAACGGTGATCTAGCTCACACTAACTCAGCTTGGAGGGAACACCTCGACTGACTGGACATTTTGCTGTTTTTGTTTTTCAAAGCTTTCGTGGAGATTAGTGGGTGTCAGTGGAAAAAGAAATAAAAAGGTACAGAGAGGCTTCTTCTCTCACTGGTGGTCACATTTCCCGCCTGACTACTTCAAACAAGCGATCCTGATGACAGATCTCATTTTAAATACCCCCTGCTGTTTCCACTGTGCTCATTGCTACTAACTAGGAATATTCCTAACTTTCCAACCCCAAAAGAGGACATTTTATCAGTGTTTTTTTTTTTGAAAGAGCCCAGAAGAGGATGAGCACAAAAAAAGAGGACGTCTAAGCTGCGGTGGCTCTGGTGGTTAAGACGCTGAACTGCAGGCTGTGGAAGGTTAGTAGTTCAGCAGTTCGAGACCCGAGTTGCCGCATGACGGAGTGAGCTCCCGTCTCTAGTTCCAGCTCCTGCCAACCTAGCAGTTCGAAAGCAAGAAATTGCAAGTAGATAAATAGGTACCACTTCGGTGGGAAGGTAACAGCGTTCCATGCGCCTTAATTCTGGGAAGTCTCCAGGCCCCACCTGGAGGTTGGCACGCCTAATGAATAACATAGGTCCATTCTCCAGTCGTCTGCCCACATGCCACCCCATGTTATGGAGGTCAGTGTGGTTGAGAATGCTAATGTTTTGTTTTTAATCTCTGGTGAGACTAGCTCAGGTAGGCGAAACGGTTGGGCAGTGATCGCAGTGTCCATCAGATTCCTGTTCCGTCTCAGGAGCCCAGTGTTGAGAGCCAGGGTGGTGCAGTGCATAGGAGGTTGGAGCCAGGTTCAAATCCATGTTATGCCACGGAAGCTCCTGGGTGAGTTTGGGCCAATCGTGTGTTCTCGGCCTAACCTACCTCACAAGATCATTGTGGTGATGAAAGGGAGGAGAGGAGAACCACGTAAGCTGCTTTGGGTCCTCATGGGGGAGAAACGCAGGACATGAATGAAGCAATTAAACATCAGACTGAACGCTGAAGAAGAATTTGTCCCGCAAGGAATGGGCCATGAATGGGTGGGGTGGGGTGGAATTACAAGGTCCAGCTAATAGACAGTCTGCGGTTGTAACCAGAATCCAGTAAGGCACAGGGAGGGGAAAACAAACATGACCCAAAAACTGGAATAAAGAACCAAAAGGGTGAGAAGAAAGTTTAATGAAGGGTCAATATTTGCTATTTGCTTGAGGACACTCTAGCTCTGACTTTGATAGCCACACAGGTGCTTTTTGGATCTGAATTGGAAGATGTTCTAATTCAGCAACTGTGCATTTGGCACCAGGCACATGACTTTCACCTTTTGAGGCCTCACAAACATCTTTGTCATGTGTCTTTAGATCTTGCTGCTTAACCTTCCTCTTCCTGGTCCAAGATTCACTTATGGGTTATCTTATTGCAATATGTATTTAAGTTATGTGCACCTCAGTATTGTTTGACCTCTGAAGAAGGCCCCAATAGGGCAGAAACGTGTTAGGTCATGTGTATTGGCCAGGGCCGGCCCGAGGGGTTTCTGCGCCCTAGGCGAGGCTGCAGATGCCAACCTCCCGGTGGGGACTGGAAACCTCCCAGCTGGCCGCCCCACCGGTAGCCCAGCGGCAGGGGGGCCGGGTGCTCGGTGGGCAGCGGCTGCTGCTCCAGTGGCAGGTAAGGAGCGCTGCGAAGAGGCGGTAAAGGGCGTGCCATGGGCGTGCCGAGGTGGAGGGCTGGCTGGCGGGGAGCGCCTCTGCGCTCAAGCGCTGGCAGAGCGCTCGTGCATGCCAGGCGGCCAGCAGCAGGGCGCGCTTACCTTTAGTCCTTCCTGGCGACGCCTGCAGCAGCTCCGACTGCCTCGGCTCCCCTGGCAGGCCTAGTTGGCCGGGTGAGCCAGCCCTGGTATTGGCCCTTGTGTTTAGGCTATACTTTTTTACAAGACTTTCATTGGGCCCTTATGTATGTTTTTAACTGTCGCCCCCATCCAGGGCCTGGCGCTCTAGGCCAATGCCTAGTTGGCCGGGTGAGCCGGCCCTGGTATTGGCCCTTGTGTTTAGGCTATACTTTTTTACAAGACTTTCATTGGGCCCTTATGTATGTTTTTAACTGTCTTTCTAATGAATATTTTTTAATATTATAAGTTTTAACTAGGTTTTTAATATTAGCCCTTCATTAGACTTTCGTCTCACTCTTTTGGTTCTTGTAACCCAGAATCCAGACAGGAATAAAGGAAACAGATCTACTCCACCACCTTCATTCAACCATGGCTTGTTAATGCATGCGAGATCAGCCATTACATCTGATGTTGTATTGCATTTGCTAATGTGAAATGCAGTAAAGGGCATTCAAACCTGGTGGCATGACTTCCATTCTTATGGAGAAATATTGAAGCAGTATAGTCAGAGAGTTTTATAGTCAGAATAAAACCTGTTCACTATTTTGGACTTTATTTTATTTTAATATTTAATTTCTCTGCTGAATTTCTGCGTAAAACATCCAAGGTGGTTTATCATCTCAGAATAAAAATGCCAATGTAAATTGTAAAACCGTAATATAAAATGCATGATGAGCTAGTGGCAATTAAACATTAATACCACCATTTTAAGATAAGCAGGAGTCAAAATCAGAGGGAGGTAGGGACAGTAAAGTCAACAGTTAAAAATAGCAGTGAATTCTGTTACTTTCCTTTGTACCAAAAGTCTTCTCAAATAGGTAGTTTTTCACTTGACCTCAAAAGGTTAAAAGAGAGGGCACCAAGCAAGCTTTTGCCACATGTGGTTTCCATGATCTGGGAGTGGTTGCTAAAATAGTTGCTATACTGAGTGGGTATTATTAGTTCCTAAAAGCAATAACTGCTTTTACAATTAAAATTATTTGAAGAAGAAGAGATTGGATTTATACCCTGCCCTTCACTACCCAAAGGGGTCAGAGAGGCTTACAATCTCCCTTCCCTTCCCCACAACAGACACCCTGTGAGGTAGGTGGGGCTGAGAGAGCTCTTTCGGGGACTGCTCCTGAGAGAATAGCTCTGAAAGAAGTTGTGACTGACCCAAGGTCACGCCAGCAGCTGCCTGTGGAGGAGTGGGGAATCAAACCTGGTTCTCCCAGATTAGAGTCCGTGCTCCTAACCACTACACCAAACTGGCTCTCAGGCAAACAACTACAAAAAGTTTACACAGAAAAAAATATAAAACAACAAATGAGTAAGCCAGTTGACACTGTTAATACCTGCATAGTAATTAGGAGCCTGGAGAAATAAAAACACACCTGCTTAGCCCCTACAAGATTACAGGGATTTCCTTAAAGGAGGGGATGATCATAGAAAAGTCTCAGTCCCTATCACCGCCTGCCTAACAACAGAAGGACCCCATTATATTCCGGCACACGTGTACAACACAATAAATTGCTCATTTTGGTCATTCAGATGGTTTTATGTTAGTCCATAGGTACTATGAAGGTTCAGTCTGCATGTTGAAATGCAATGCATGATTTATGTTGTAACAGTCTGTGGTTTTATGTGATGTGGGCTGTTGCAACCTGAAACATTTTGCTGTAACAGTCTGAGGAGCGATACCTGATAATATTCCCTAGGAATTATTAAACAGTTTTTTAAAAAACTGTCCTGTGAACTGTCAAAATTTTGCGTCACCTCTGGTGTCTAATGATGTACTTTAAAATGGACTGCTGGCTTTTGAAAATATTTCCAGTTCAGCCCTTTGCAGGAGAAAGTCAAGAGCCCCAGAAACATGTTCTGGTGACGTTTGCAAGGGAAGGTCCAAACAGAAAAAGACATTACTCGTGACCAACTGGCCCATTTTCGCGTACGCAGCATTCTGTGACTCACGTCCAAATACTTTGCACAGAATGGGCTTTTTTGTAAGGCCTCAAATTTGGGGACGTGTCAAGGGTCATCATTCTTCAGATTACATGTGTTATTGAACAACTGTATATTGTTAAATATTAAAGTAGGGGGGAGTTTGTGACCCCTGCGAAGTCTTTGATTGTTTTCTGGTTATCTTTGCCTACTTGATAAAGACTCCTGATAGAATACATTTGTATCTTTCATAGTTATCACTGGCGGGTTTCCCATCTCGAATCCTCCACTATGGAAAGCGATAAGTATGGGAAAGACAAGTTCCTCAATCCTACCCCTTACTACTGTAATGTGAGTATCATGCTTCCTATTGAGAGATTTCGGAATGATTTTCAGGGTATATTTATACCAACACATCAGTTTTGAGCTGGGTTTAGAATTCTCTAACACAAAGTGTTATGAGGAGAAAGACTGATGTTTAAAATAGAACAAAGTCTGAGTCCAGTGGCACCTTTAAGAACAAAAAAGTTTAATTCTGGGTATAAGCTTTCCCCATATATACCCCAGAGAGCACTACGGTCGGGGTCCCAAAATCGACTGACCCTCCCAGGTACCAAGGATGCCAGGCTTATTACTACCAGGGCCAGGGCCTTCTCAGTGGCGGCTCCATACTGGTGGAATGAGCTCCAGGAAGAGATCAGGGCCATGCGGGATCTTTTACAGTTCCGCAGGGCCTGCAAGATGGAGCTCTTCCACCAGGCTTTCAACTAAGGAGCTGCCTTCACCACTACCGCCAACAACCGTAGCTATAGATCCTGGCCCTTAATCTTGACATCTGGCCTGTGCTGCTGCGTGACTTAGGAAGATCATTGGGCTGAAAAACTGCTTGTCTGAATGCATTCTCCAGTACGCCATCTTAAGTAATTAATGAAATATTGCCAGCACCTTATGATTTTATGATCTTATTTGTAACTGAACTAAATGATTTTATGTGGATTTGAATGGTTTCTGTGTCCCAACCAATGTAAGCTGCCCTGAGCCTGCTCACGGGGAGGGCAGGGTTTAAATTAAATAAATAATAATACTATCCAGAATTAAACTTTGTCGGTCTCAAAGGTGCCACCGGACTCAAAACTTTTATGTTTAGAATGTCTTTGTAATCACTTTTCTGCCCTTAGTTACCTGTGTGTGTATGTAGAAAATCTCTGCCAACTGAGTGTAACAATTTTTGCATCTGAAGACATCGCCTCTGGTTTATTAAGGCTTACGCCCACCACTAATTCACTGTAGCACCACAAGACTGATATTTTGGCAGTTTAAATTTGTACAGCGTAGGTATGCCAGTAAAGTGTAACTTGAGGAGCCAAAACCTTTAATTAAAGGCAAAGTAATCTTTAACTTCCCTATATTTTTTCACAATAAGCTTTTTTTGATGTAGTGCAAGAAGAACTGCACGCAGAATTCCGAATGCGGCCACATAAAGACATAACAAAACTGGCATTTCCTTTCCTAATAATTCCTAACATAGACTTTGCCATTTTTGTCATCTCTGCCCAGTAGGTCGACCGATCTATTGTTTCGATGGGTTCTCCTTTGTCATGGGACTGGAGCCTGTGTTTGCGATCTCTTTCCTCTGGCTTGTCAGCTCCAAATGGGGTTACATCAGGGGTCCCTAACTTTTTGATCCTGTGTGCACTTTTGGAATTCTGGCACAGCTGCAAAAAGGCTACTGCAAAAAGGCTACTGCAAAAACGCAGAGCCAATTACAAAATGTCCAGGAGCAAGGTTATGCATAATTCTAATAGTAGCTGTTCAGCATTTAAGGCAAGAGCTCTGCTTAACAGGATGCCTTTTTAAATGGGGGTCTTTCTGCTTACACACAACATAACTTCGTTCACACACTGAGGTTCCTAGTGTTGTGGTGGCAGATGCCGCTGAAGCAATTTGTAAAAAATGTGCACAGCCAATCAGAAATGCTCGTGGGCAAAAGCCCCATCTGGCCCCTGCCCACTTTCTAAAAACACTTGGTGGGCACTGGGAAAGGTGTTGGCAGGTGCCACGTTGCCCACAGGCTTACATATTTGATGGTAAAATATTAGCTTGTTCAGCCAGTTCTGAAGCTAGATACACAGTCCAAAAGCAAGCCGAGATACAGTGCCAAGGTCAGGATGCCGAGAGAATCTGTCAGAGTTCTCGGGAGCAAAGAGCGGATGCTGGGAGCCGGGACAATGTCCGAGATTGCACGGTTGCATCCGCACTGAGGCGGGTGTGAGTGGTTGCTTATACTCCGATCCTCCCTTCCCTGGGAGGTGACCTGCAAGGACTCACGGCCTCTCACGTTGCCTTTGCAACAGCTGAAGTCTTGCACTCCTCCGTCTCTCCCGTGCCTCCAGATGCCGGCATGCCCTGCGTCTGGGACATTCAGGTGAGCTAGGTGGGGACTCTGGCCTCGAGGTGTCTCCGACTGGGGGTGCTGGGCCAGGCTCTTCCTCCGACTGCACCTCAGATGCTGGAGCCTCTCTTCGGGGCTGACTCTGGAGGAGGCTGGGTTGCTCTTTGCCTCTTCCTTGTCGGAGGAACAGTCAGCCTCGGTTAAGCCACGACCCATGACACTGGGTTTAACCAGTGCTCTGTATTGTAAAACTCTCAAGAAGCATGGGATAGTTGGTTGTATTTGTGAGATTTCTGTTGCCTGTGTGTTCTTCTGAAAGATGTAATATTTTAAAAATGTGTTATTATTTCACGTACCATTTGTCTTCTTGAAATACCTTCTAGCTCTGCAAAGTCTATTGTGCATCTGCCGTAAATCTGCAGACTCACTTCCTTGGAATCAAACACAAAGCGGTAAGAATCAGTTTCTCTATAAAACTACATTACATGGTGGAAAAAGATTTCACTAAGTAATAGACGACAGCAAAGTTGATCAAAGCAATGTAAGAAGTGGAACATTCAGCCATTTAGGTTCTAGAACTACTGGTTAGGGTTGTTCAGATTATTACTTTCCACCTTCACAACACACATGGCAAGACTGAGAGTAGATCTCATGCTTGTCTTGTATTCTTTCTTCCCGCCTCTTCCCAGCCCTGCTCCATGGGAAAAAATGACTGTCCAACAACACTGTTTACCTGTCTCGATTTTAATCGTTCATCACAAAACAAAAGTGAAACTCAGAACCATGTGCTTTAATGTATTTGTATTAGACCAAACTTAATAATTTACAGAAGTTAGTAGCCTTGTGGAAGTATTTAGTAGTCCATCTATCCATATGTATTTAACATCTATGGCTGGTTTGCCAATAGGTGAGCAGGCAAATGGCTATTCACGTGCCTGTTTTTGACATGGACCAGGGATCTTTGAATGGTCCCTTTCTCCGTTTCTGACATAGCTGTAAGAGTTCTTGGGAAGATTATTGATTCAATGAAGCGTTACCTTCCTAAAACCATTGAGAATGGTGGAGAAATCTAAATGAATACTTTCTTTTTTTCACTGCTGTTGTGAAACACAATCTAGTTTCTGCTTTGGTTTCTCAAAATTAATGGTTCTTCAGAACTGTGATAATGGAAAACATTAATAAATGAGATAGAAATGTGGATAATTACTATTTCTAAGTCTTTATTTAGAGTCTAAATCTTGATGTGCCCCCTCCTATTTTCTGTGAAAACTCAATAATATACAAATGTTATGTTTTTTCTCCCCCACCCATCTGAAAAACAATCAAGGTGGAAGACGCGTTGAAAGCTCATGGCATTGGTAAGTGTTGAAATATAACACCAGTTGAATGTAAACCTTTTATTGCCTGGGCCAGAGGTTCTACAAATGCAGATAACTGTGTAACTGATTACTTAATTATAATGTGATGGTTTTATCACTCTGTTTCATTTCTTCAGGATATGGAGCGACTGGCCATTGGTGTAACTGTGCTAATGTTGTAAAGTGAGCATTGGTCTGGAGCAGCTTAGGGAAGGGCATTAGAAATCTTTTGGATACTGGAGTCTGAATTCCAAAGTTTGTGATCACCTATGCGAGAAATTGAAGTCTCTCATCTATGTGTGTTCTCTGGTTTTTATGAGTTACATCTTATTGATGTGGACCAGTTCTACAGTCTCTGAGGGCCAATGTTGCTTTATACCCCATATTCCCAAGCATAACGATGGGTGGTGAAGTTTACCTTTTACTCTTTAGCTCTGTTTTATTTAACCCCATAGGCTAGAGGTGTAAACCATGGGGGGGTGGGGGTGGCAGCGGGGCCCATTTAACCCCATAGGCTAGAGGTGTAAACTGTGGGGTGTGTGTGTGTGTGGCAGCGGGGCTCAAGCTCCCTCTGGTATTTCCCGGTGGGGGCAATGTCGCCTCTGGGCTGTCAGGCCCTCTGGGATTTCCCAGCAGGGCCAGTGCCTCTCCTGGGCTGCCTGGTAGCATTGTGAAGCTGCTCAGGGTGTCAGGTTCTCAAGTACGGTAAGACCTGTTTGTCTTTGAGGCAACTTAGTAAGTTCCTAGGATGCACAGGGTTGGCTTTGTTTGTTTGTTTTTGTAAAAGTGGTGGTAGGAACTTCAGCTGATAATACTGTGTGTGAGGGAACGAGAGAGGTGGAAACAGCATGGAAGGGGGGAGGGAAAAATAAATCCATCTAGCAATCAGGCGGCCTCAGTGGTTGGTCCAGGTGGATAGCTGTGTTGATCTGAAGCAATAGAATAAAGCTTGAGTCCAGTCGCACCTTAAAGACCGACAAAGATTAATTCTGGGTATAAGCTTTCGTGTGCATGCACACTTCTGAAGAAGTGCGTGCACATGGAAGCTTTATGCACAGAATTCAACTTTGTTGGCTTTAAACTGGACTAAAAATGTATTTCTTGTAGTCTGCATCACAAGCTCTGATGTAAATATAGTTGGTTTGAGTGCAGTAGCCCCTTAGATACCAGCAAGATTTTGGGGGGTATAAGCTTCTGAGAGTGAAAGCTCTATTTGTTCGTATCTGACAAAGGGAGCATTGATTCTCAAGAGCTTATACCCCCAAAATTTTGTGGACTCCAAGGTGCTACGGGGCCGGTTTAACCCCAGAAGAGCTTTACACTCAGGAGATAAGAACCTTCTAATGGTCTCTGGCCCGAGAGAGCGCTTGCTGTCCAGGGCTTTTTCTGGTGGAACACTGCCAGCTAACATCCATGCCCAGTGGCATTTGTTACCTTTCCGCGGGGCATGCAAGGCAGAGATGTTCCGTCAGGCATTTGGTTGAGGACAGTGATGGTCATAACATAGTCTGGCACTCTCCCCGTCCCTTCATCTCCTCCATCTCCTCCCACCTCCCTCCTCTGTGAGGCTGCGGCATCTTCTGTAAGTGTTTGCCATCAGCTGGATGTTAAATGTTTTTTGGGTATTTTTTATATCTTAATTCTGGAATGTCTAGCTGTGGTTCGTGAGTTGTATTGGAATTTTATCATTGTTGTACGCCACCCTGAGCCCTGTCTTTCAGGGGAAGGGTGGCCTCAAAATCCAATTTAATAATTAAATAAATAAAAACAGTATGGGCCTAGACCAGGTTCAGCCCTGTATCTCTTCCCCCCTCTGGAAACTGAGAAGTCTGCACCCCTGCTATAGGCCTCTTTGCTGCAAAACAGCATGGTGGGGGTAACTTGCAGTGGGGGTGCCAGTCTCCCCCCCCCCAATTCTCACACTACTTTGCTCTCACTGGGTTTTTGTCAGCGGATCTGTTGCAAAAGTACTTCTTCCCCACGCACCTGCTCCCAACAGTGCTTTGCAGCGAAAAAGGGAAAAAAAGCGGGCAAAAGGGTTGTATTATGCACAGCTGCAGTATAACTTGAAGTTTTCCCTCGTGCTTCTAGATGGAAACAGGTTGATATTGTGTTCCGTGCTGGTGTGTGTGAGATAGCTAGCATGTTTGAAACACTGGCGGTGAGAAGACTGATGGTTATTCTGAATGCGTGCAATGAAAGTCATGGAAGTGGCTGTCTGATCGGGCTCTGTACATTCCACGTGGATAAAGTCATTTGACCTATGGAGTTTTTTTGTCTTCAGCTGCCTCGAGAGTCGTCATTGGCTGTAGAATAAATTATGAATCGATTAATCTGCACGTAGTAGAATGCTGGTGCATTGTGCATATGGGGTGCCTTTGAAATCCTGCCATTCTTTGCCTGCTGTCTTGTGTGTGCATGTACTTGGGAAATAGTTTGATTTTTGATTTAAATCAGTTGTCTATAATTCCATATAGATCTGTATAATTCCATATACATTCTGAGAACTGGTGTGTGCATCTCATGACGAGAGAGCTCCTTTTTATATGTATTGACTTTCTTTTGCAGTTAAGCCTCTGCACGGTTCAGGAGAGCCAGTCAGACTACCAGAAAGCCTTCCAGAAGGTGGTGAGTGTCTTTTTTAACCAAGGGTATCTGTTACTCAAATGGAAAATACAAATGCAAAATCCTGGATTAAAAATCTTAAGCACTTCTGTTTACTGAAGAGTATTCACTTTAATGGGATGTTGACAGTTTTTTTTGTAAATAATTGCAGTAATGAATACTTTTTTAACTCATAAGATCTTAGATTCCTTTATCTTCACATCCACATGCAGCCTTCTTCTCTTACTGTTTGTTTAGAAGAAAATAACCCTGTAATTCAGTGGGGTCTACTCCTGGTTAAGTATACATATTTGCCTCAAAATAAATCCTATTGAACTTAGTGGTATTTACTTCAAAGAGAACATTCACAGGATCATAATTCTGGAATTCTGAAAGCACTTGCAACCAGTGTTCCCTCTAAGCTGAGTTAGTGTGAACTAGCTCACAGTTTTTTAGCCTCCATCTCACACATTTTTGTCTTCGCTCAGGAAGGATGGCTCCGGAGCAAACTAACTTATGCAGTAGCCAAATTGCTGGATGACAACTTTAATGCCAGTAGCTCACAAAGTAGAATTTTTGCTCACAAGACTCCACATCTTTGAGGGAGCATTGCTTGCAACCATTGAGCCATAAGTTAATATTGCACCCTTCTCCCTCTGAGAGGAGGACATCTTGATGGGTGTTTCCCACCCTATCCTTAGGAAGGCAAGAACCAAAACTTCACTTCCTGTCCTCTTGGTGGGACACGCCCCTCAATTCAGTTTTTGTCCCTGCCTCAGGGAGAGCAGCACGAAGTTGGCACTCGTGCCTTTTTTGACTACTTTCTGTTTCTACTGGCTTTCTGCTTTTGGCCGTAACTCTGTAGATGTTCCTCCTTCTCTGCGCCTCCTCCCCCACTTGTTCTCTTCTACCTTTTTTCTTTCCTTGACTGAACTCCCCCCTGACGCTCTGGCCTGGAGCATTTCAGACCAGGGAGACTTGAACTGATTCCTCTCAGAAAAAGAGAGGGAAAACGCTCTGCCGCCAGCACAACTCAAATGGGCAAACTTAAAGCTGCGGCCACTACCTCTGCCGGCGCTGCGGGTCTCACTGCAACACAAGGAGGGCGCACCAAAAAGCGGCCCCATTCTCTGCCCGCGGAGCACGCCGTAGGGGACATCTTGGATCAGGCGGCAAAGCGGAGACCCCCGAGGAAACTGGGGAGGGCTGCGGGGCAGCTGTCGCTGCTACCATAAGCCAATATATGCCTGGTGCCAGTGTCCTGGACATTCCCAACAACCAGGGCCTTCCGGCAATGCCTTCTGATGATGCGGCATTACCTATGGATCTACTCATGAGTAACTCCGAAAGGGGTGCAAACGCGATTTTAGTGCCAGAATAATGCAAACCTTCAGGCAAGCCATGAGAGAAGAAATTTCTAACTTTCACAGTAGGGGATGGTAGCCACTTTCTCTCTCATAGCCCTCTACCCCCAGGGAGAACTGGATAGATCTTACCCTGAGGAGGAAAGGCCTCACTGGCTGATCAAGGCAGCTAGAAAAGATCATGTCTCTTCAA